TTAACATTTGTAATTTATTGTTGGGGCTGTATATCGAGGTCTGCATTTTACTAGTCTATATACTGTGTATATATATGTATATTAATATATATATATATATATAATATAATATATATATACTGTATATATCGTACATAGCGATTATATACCGTATACGAAAATTGATGTTACAATGAAAACGTCGTAAAGCTGTCGCATCTACAGTAAAATACACGAAAAAGTGGCAAAACTAAAGTTGATGACAAACCAAATTAACGACCTGTGCGTTGACAGAATATTCCCCTTACTTCAGAACACCGCAAGCAACTTTTGGAACTTTGTTCTCTTGACTTGATGAAGCGACGTCCTATAAAGTCTTTATCACAATCCGAATTTTTGTTAGTAGCTGGATTTCTTTCCACTTCCTCCTCCGAAGCCACCTTTGTAGCCACCGGCACCACCACCTCCGAATCCTCCACCGCCGTATCCACCTTGACCTCCGGCACCACCGCCACCGAATCCTCCTCCTCCGTAGCCACCACCTCCACGTCCTCCGGCTCCTCCACCACCATAACCGCCTGCTCCACCTCCACGTCCTCCGGCTCCACCGCCACCGTAACCTCCAGCTCCACCACCTCCGTAGCCACCAGCTCCGGATCCTGCTCCTCCATATCCGCCTGCTCCTCCACCTGAATATTTATCTTGGATTCCTGCTGGAGGTGGCTCGACAATAAATGTAGCATCTGCTGGGCTTTTATCTCCCACTCCTGGTTCGTTAGTTTTCACTGTTGCCGTAAAACCATTAGCATCTGCACGGTATTCAACATGCCTGTAGACACCATTTGCATCAGTGTAGCCATATGATCCTTTAACGGCTCCGGATTCATCGCCTTGTTCTTGACGGTAATGAGTGTTTCCAAATTCATCTTTAACGTCGTAACCGAACTGGTAAGGTTGGGGTGGAAACTGAAATTAAAAATATTTAAGATTCTAAAGGATACTAAAGAAATCGTCACTTATATGATTGCGAAATTAATAAACTTACATCGTCACCTCCGCCTCTTCCTCCTCCATATCCTCCAGCACCACCACCTCCGTATCCTCCAGCACCACCACCTCCGAATCCTCCAGCTCCTCCGCCTCCGTATCCTCCGGCACCACCGCCTCTACCACCTCCTCCGTATCCTCCAGCTCCACCGCCGCCGCCACCTCTTCCTCCTCCACCGTAACCTCCTTGTCCGCCACCGAATCCAGTGGCTTGTCCGCCACCACTGTAACCTCCCTGGCCACCAAAGCTTCCTCTTCCTCCACCACCATATCCTCCGGCACCACCTCCTCCGCCTCCGCCTCTTTTACCACCTCCAGAATAGCCACCTGGGCCACCACCACCACCAAAGCCTCCACCTCCTCTACCGCCTCCGTATCCCCCTCCTCCGCCGGGTCCACCTGCATCGATCCAAGTAGGGAGGACGAGGAGAACGATAACAGCGAATACCTGAAAAATATTTTAAAAAAAATAAAACTAAAGATTGTTATTATGAACAAAACTATTCCAAAAACAAAATTTCGAAGTAAGAAACACCCGTGGAAAAATTTTTAAAACTCGAAGAATATTTTTCATAGACTGAATATATTTTGCAACTGGAGCATTTACTTACCTTTAACATTTTCTACAGTAAGGTTTGAAACGAGTGATGTGTCCGAAGTGATCGGACCCACTATATATACCAGAGGTGGCCAGTAAGAGGCCAGATCTCTCCAATGGTGTCATCTTTTCACTTTAGCCTGCAGCGTGGCGAACCTGGTGTCCTGAGGAAATCGTGCCAACAGGGGGGTTTCAATCAGGGAGGATGAGCCGTGACGTCAGCAGCACGTTCACTTTAGGCCACCGGTATCAACCTCAAGGATAGGATGATAATTTTTTCCTTCCTGAACTAAAACTAGGTCTTAGAAATGGAAAAAAGGATGCACTTTCTTCTGATAGGCTGGACGTTCCTGAAGTCTTAGACGGCATCGTGATGAAGTATTCGTGACGACATTAACCGTGACAAATCGTAATTCGTTTTTCTCTGATATCACGCTATAAGAATTGAATATTAGGACCACATTTTTTTCCAATTCATCGTTTACAGCGGCGATTGTGAAATTTTGAAAAAATTATAACGCTTCAGGGTATAGAGGCGATCTCTCATTGAAAACGATTATTGTTGATATTACTAACTGACGATATGACCCGTTTTGCACTACAAATTGCAAAACGTTTTATTTATTGAAAAACAAAAACAAAATAAAAGAAAAATACTCGAAACCAGTTATAACAAAATTCGCTTTTACATCTCTTCCCTTTTTCCTCATCCACTCCAATCATATACAGTTAAGGACATAATTAGATCCGGATGCATTTCTCTCTTAAATTACTTAAAGAAGACTAATGTATAAATTGTTTTAAAAATAATTTATATAAAAAATGTTTAAATCTATTTTTAAAAAAGAATTCAAACAAAACTTTGAAATAATTCAAGTCAATTCTTTTGTAGCTCTTGTAAAAGTCAACATGTTTTTATTTTCCTCAACCTTGAGATGTATTTAATTCAAAATTTTTTTGATGAATAAATCAAAAATTTAGGACATATATGAATCGATTTTGTTCCTTTCCATTTTCCTTAACCAAAATAGAACAATTAAGGTCAAATTTTTTATTATATTATTGAACAGATAACTCTTAACATCATCGATTACTAATGACTCTATGAACCTTCGTACGGTAACAAAGGATCAAGCAAATGTCCTCTACTGGGTCAGAAAAATGGGCATTCCAGTTACACATTACTGAATCGTAGACAAAGAAAGTGAATCTTTTCTAGTTAAGCGATTAAGTTTATTCGAGATGCAATCTGATTGTCATAAACAACCAACTTCACCATAAGTCGACACATTACTACCATCAAAGGAATCTAGGACGTGTACTGACGGAACTGAAGAAGAAGCACTTACGATTGTCTTCATCTATAATCCCATTTTTTCTACTTGTAATTTATCAATAAACTTATAAATCGTCGTGGCACTGCATTATAAGAAGGGCGTGAGATTTGCATCACCATTTTCTGACCTTGTTGTGCCCTCTCTCCACATAATTACTCTATTAGATATTTATATATAATTTTTAATTGTTCGGAAACAATAGAAAGGTTTTCAAGAAACGTTTCTAGAAACATGACAGGAAAATTTGTTGCGGAACACAAACGTGTTTACTGTGTTACTGAATTACAATTTGCATTGTGTTGGACTATGCACAAGTGTGCAACTAATCCTTTTCTCTCGCTTATTTATTTACAATATTTATAAGTTAAAAGAAAAACACTTAAAAAAATTCGAAATAAATTCGTTAGTTTCAGCAGTATGTCTGTATGTCTGTCTGTTGTCTGTCCATGTTCTAGAAAATTGTTGAAAATATATACAAATACACGTTTATAAAAATTTTACACAAATGAATGAAAAATCTTAGAAAACTTTATGAATTTAAAGCATATTTAAATTTTTTTTCCAATACTTTGCTTTTTTGGGGGGATTTTAAGACGTACAAAGCATCATCTGATGCTCTTCAACACACAATGTGTGTTGCATTTTTTAACACTACGATTGAGAAAAATGATACGACTTCCCTTTTTCTTGTGAAGACCTTAAAATATATAGGCCTAAATAAAATATTTTTCATCATTTAATAAAGAAAAAAAATTTTAAATAGACTTTTAGAGGCTCTAACTTATAAGAGGCCCTTCCATTTCGGTAATTAATAATGAATTTATTGGCGTAAGGCCCTAACACATAAACTTGTTTAGCTTATGTCTAGTCATGCATAAAATACTAAATTTTCAGCCCAGCTATATTTGACGGCACATAAAAAGGTCCTCCGGATCTATAGATAGGAAAAATATACTGTACATTATAGAAAATGTGACAAATAAGCCGGATTTTTATAGCTAAAAAATCCTAAAAAAGCCATAAAATAATTTTTATAAATTAAAATTTTTAGCTTTTATAAGTGCTACAAACATATTTATTCATTTTATACAATTTAGAAAGCATTTTATGGCCTTATTTTACGGAAAAAAATTGGGATCTTAATTGATTTAAAGACATGGTATATATTTTAGGGGGGTTACAATTATTAATTGTTAATCTGTTACAAGTCTTTTGTGTTCAAAAAGTACACACNATTCATTTTATACAATTTAGAAAGCATTTTATGGCCTTATTTTACGGAAAAAAATTGGGATCTTAATTGATTTAAAGACATGGTATATATTTTAGGGGGGTTACAATTATTAATTGTTAATCTGTTACAAGTCTTTTGTGTTCAAAAAGTACACACAAACAGAAAAAAAAAATATTTATCCTAATTTTCTAGACAGGTGACAGACGTATAGAGCACTTAAACGAAGATGCTCCTTATGGCCCAATTTTACTCTATTGTTCGATCATTTCCGTTTAATCAGTTCATATATCTTCAATGGGGAAAACCTCATTGCTTCAAGACCACTTTGTCCACCACGTTTAAGGTATTTCTATCGTATTGTATAGATAATTATCATCTAGACTTATTTACCTTTATGAAAATTAAATTTACATATATAATTATAGCAAATCGTGACGATACAGCAACAAACAAATCAAGGAATCACCTTGACTTACATACGATCTCATCGTTAGAACTAATTCTTTAATATTAAACTTCGGGCAATGAGTTTTTTCATACAAAATCATGATTTAGTATACTTAAAGTTCGTATTTCTTTAGCTATTTGCATAGAATCATCATTATCATCATCATTATCATCATATATATCCTACAACTAACTTGAAAAACATATAAAAACTGAACGAGTTCAGACTTCAAGCATATATATACTTAAACATTAACAATTTCTTAAGAAACAGTTACTCTAAATGGTATTGCCCCTAATAAATGTACCAGGTCATACACACCCAAAATATTTTTTTAAGAAAAAAAAGTAGACTAACAACACGTCCCACTTAAATCTTTTCTACTTTTACTAGTTACAGAATTTAACTTTATACAGTTTACACTATTTTGTATTAACTTTTAACGTTTCTAAACTCTAGAACAGGCCGTAATTTATTAAGAAGATGAAGAAATTTCGCATTCTCCTCCATTATCCATTTGTTTATAATTACGAAACTAGGCCATTCTCATATATATCATCGCGTTATTGTTACTATGTATTGTTACACTTTGTCTTCTTTAACGAGACACTCTCGTTTTCTTTGTAATTAGACAGCTAAAAAATAAAGTTGCATTGCCAGAAGCTAGCTTATATCTGTATTTTTTATATTTTAAAATGTTTTTTTAACGTCTTATCTCCTTCAAAATGTGGGTGTGATGGTCAAGTACGTTGGAATCTATGACAAATTAAAAATACAGTAAGTTGCAAGTGGAGCATAACGTTCGATATTTGCATTATTATCAAAGCAGGTATCTATGAGGTTAAAGTATAACGCCTTTGTACTATAACCGGTAGTTTTAAATAATATTATACAAGTTATATAGATTTTTATAGAATATTTTCCCGTATATAATGTAATATTTCATTTATATACAGTCGATTTTCTAAACGTGTTTATCTTCGATCTCAGGTCAATGTTTTTGATGTATTTTTCCTATAAATAACTTGAAAACTACCATCACTTTTAGCTTGTTTTGAAAAATATTTACCGTTTAAAATTTATCTTAAACGTTATAAACGGGACGAACTCAATGCATTATATAAATAGTAGAAAAAACGAAAATATTTGATGAATTTTATAACTATATTTAGAATTTCGTGTTAATTATATTAAGGAAGAAAAAATAGATAAGGAAACATAATAAATTATTCAAGAAATTCAAGAAAAAAAATAAAGAAAAATTCTTCGGTGCCATCTTTCCTTGTGATGCTTATAAAGAAGGCATTGGGTGTCAACTAGCAAGTTTTCACTTCCTACTTTCTAGAATATAAGTTACTTCTTATACAATTGATTAAGGAAAATGTCAAAAGAATTTTCAGAGAAAGAAGCTGAAAAACTACTATAATAATATATATACTAAAACAGGTTTAATAATGGGAAAACAATGAGTGAAGATTAAATAAGAACAATTTGTAGAATATCGTGACCTCCAGTGATGATAAACGGAAGAGAAGCTCGTAGGGATGTCATGTCCAATGACCCACAGCCATGAAGTAAAGCACGCGATGTTTGATGTATGACCTACAGCCTTAGGATCTCACAATCTAGAACCATAATGCCACACCCTGAAAGAGAAAGTGTCCTGGTATGGTTCCACTATTTGTATCAGGCACACCTTCACGCTGCGCCCTGTCTAATGCTGTTTTTGTTTTTTGTTTTTTTTTCTTTAATCTTGAATGGAATTTGAAGAGATAGACGAACTTTATTGATTTTTTAACATCCATTTTACTCTTAATATACTTTTTAAAGGTAGTGCCGTAACGCGAGTGAGTGCCATCTTTATGATGGCACTTGTGCCAACTTCGTGTTGCAGAGCTTCAGACAAATTTATTTAAAATATATTTAGGCAATTTTATTCATATAAAATCTTGTTCTCATTTCATATTTTCTAGATATAATTGTGTAAAGCACAAAGAAATGTCATCTTCCTTGCTTAAGAATAGTATTTACATAGTTATAAGATGTACGGTTGCGTATCATGTTTATCTGATAAGATTATCAGAGATAAAACAGTTTAATAGGATTATTCTGAGTTAAAATAATAAATTTCGCCATTATTTTTGAATTTTTTTTAGAAGAGTACCCGAGTTTATTCTTACGAGAATTCATTAATTTAAATAAAAAATAAAAGTACTTTTTTAAAATTAAAATTATTTATTTTATATATACTTTTTACAATTAATTACACGTTAGTTACATTAAAACGTAATTTTTCATTATTATTATTTTATTCCCAAACATTTTTCATGTATAAAAATCCCATAGAATATAATTTATCTCGTTGGGCTTTAGGAGTAGAAATGAGCCCTTCTCCAGAATTACGGATTTGTGAAAGAATGCCGGATAATACATTATTCTTCCTTATAGGATTTCTTTCTCTATAGTCATCTGCATCTCGAGGAGGAAGATAATTGGAAGAATCTGATGGAGGAGGAGGCAAATCGTCTTCAAGGGGAGGAGGCGGCAGCTCTTCCGGAGGAGGAGGAGGAGGAGCTGCTTTTCGAGGATGTAGTCTAGATCCGTATGTATACTTAGGAGGATTTGGATCGATCGAATCTTCAGGAGGTGGCAGAGGTTTAGATCTATAGGAGCTATAACGCGGCGGAGGTATATATTTAGATCTGTATGAAGGATATCTTGGAGGATGTGGAGGTGGAGGTGGTGGAAGATCTTCCGTTGGAGGAGGGTCGGATTCTATTGGTCGGGGAGGACGATTTAGCTTGCTTTTTGCCGGATAATACTTTTTTACGGGGGGAAGAGGGTCCGTTTCTACAATATCGGAAGGTAATTTAGAAGAATCATCAGCAGCAGCATCCAAGTTACGGTGATGCTGTCTAACAGAAATCACTCCTTTATCAGTTTCTACGCTGTAGTTTATTTTATAATTACCGTTGTCCTGCAATACGCGTAAAGAATCATAAACCGCACTTAAAAACGCAAAAATGTAAAGATTTAAAAATTCTTACATCTTTATAAAGTTCCGCTTGTTGAGGTGGCGGTAGAGCATCGGTTAATAGAAAGAGCACCAGGCAAATGGCAACCTAATTAAAGAAAGTATTACATATGAAAAATTATATAACTGTTTAAAGAAAGCAAACGAACGCGTTTGTATCGTCGATTACCTTACACCTCATGACTAAACCTTATCTGGACAAACCAACTAAATTTCGTAAGGTTACTTTTATAATATAGTTTTTGACCCGGTTTCGGGACAAAGGGAGTAAATCACACGCCCTTGTGTGGGGTACAAAAAATGGGGAACGATCAAACGTGATTGAACCAATTGAAAATTGACGTAGTTACCATATCAACTTCTTACATAACAGAAAGATCATTTACGTACACATTATCCTGGAAAGATATATTGACCAGTAACAATAGAAATGCTGAAAATAAACGTAAGGACTCTTAAAAATCATCACTCTTTTCTCTTTAATAATGGAGCGATGTCCTCAGTTAGTGTGTAATAAAACGTAAAATATTTTATTGACTATTTATTCTAGGTCAAATGAAATTATTCTTTCCTTAATATCCGTATAAATCATAGCTCCATCTATCAGCAGGCATTAGAAACCATCTTGAAACTTCTTCATCATCAAAGATGCCGACAACAACAATGTGTGCTATTGACCCATGCTAGGAACGAATTCCTACTTCTCAATAACATTAAAAAAACTTTTACCTTTTCCGGAACGAATAATTTGTACGTATGAAATTGTACAGTACATGTCATTCGGACACGAACCCTGAACAAACTTACTTTCATTAGCATGGGATTCACGATTATAAAAATCTGGGTTTAAGAAGGGTGAGGTTCCTACATTTACTTTCTCTAATGATATTATATTCTGTTACGCTCTGGTTATTAATAAAAACGTCTTTCTTACATATATTAAAGATTTGTACATATTTAATTGATGAGTTATTCTATTAAAAAAAAAAAAACTAGAAAAAAAATTCGAAACATGAAACCTCATTTTGTAACTGTAGCGTCACCTTTCAGGTATACTATGTAATTACTCAACAATTGTTATAATAATGTTAGATTGTAGCACGCTCGACAGTTTCCAGACTTAACATTAAACAATTTTCAGTATTGCCGGTCTAGTAAGAATTGTTAAGCATATCTAATTTGGCCTTTAATGCTTAATGACGCCTCATAAAGCTCTTAAGATGTGCTAGATAACTTGTATAATATAGAACGTAAGATTAAGTACTGGTTTAGACACATGGCCCGATTTTTGTTATGTAATTAAATGTATCCACATACCAATTTTCTAGTAATACTAAACATTTACATAATTCTACATCAAAAACTACGCAAAATTTTGAAATTAAATTGTAAAAATGTTAGCAAAATGATGGCTTAATCAAAGAAACTTTAGTTCAGAAAACTCTCAAATGTAGCGCTGATTTCTAATACATTATCACGTCATTATCTTTGATAGAGNTTTGAGGTCTCGTCTCTAACAAAGATAGGAACCAAATGGCTCTGTTGACCTCATCTGTCTGTGTTTCTCTGTATAAAATTTTGTTATATTTATTCAAAAAAATTCAAAATAAAGATTGAAATAGCTTCTTAAAGAAGGAAAGCATTTTCAAGGCAAAATTTATGAAAAAAGAAAAAAACAATTCATTTAAAACTTTCAAATGAATTTTTATTGTAAGAAGTAACTTTTCGTATTGATATTATATTAATATAGATTTGGAATATAAAAAAGTAAGCTTTATAAAAGCAATATATAATGTTTTAATATTTTTATTAGTAAAGAAATATTTAATATATTCGGTTATCAGAAGAAAAAAGCAATTGCTGAAGTTTTCAATGATTTGATCTGAAAAAAATTTATAAATTTGTCTAGTTAATTTAATGTTAAAAATAAAAAATTAAATTTTTCATCATAACAAATTTATTTTAAGATGATAAATTTAAAAATGTATACAAAATAACCTCCAAATATCGGTCATTTTTTTATGTTTCAGTCAGTGGCCGTTGTTTACAGGTTTGACTGTATATATGAGAAAAGTAAAATAAATTATGAATTTATTTGTAAAATTAATAGAAATGTATCATCATTTAACAATGTTTATTTGTAATTTCTGATTTATTTGGAAATTTTTTTTATTCTACTTTTTTATAAGATTTCTATAAGGGGAAACAACCGTTAAATGACGTCGTAACTGGTCACAAACAGCTTCACAACCTTGAAAAACTATCACCGAAGAGTAGAAGTAGATCAAGGATTCAAAGAAGGGCGAGGCAGATGGGGGATGACTCCACAAAGGTGGGGCTTCACAACCTGCAGTAACGGTTTTTTATATTTCCGCATTTACTAATGCACATATTAAACTGATTTTCGTGATTTTTAAAATCAAATTATACTAAATAACCTCTTAAAATAAATCTTAACAATTAAATTGTTCATAAACGTGAGAATAATCGTAAATTTTCTTCATAGATGAGGTTGGCACATTCCTTATAATGAATTTTTGGCATGGGTGTATATAAATCAATATTAACCTCTTTACGTAATGAAGAAAGACGTATCTTACGAGGAAAACTTTAATGTAGGCTGTAACATTAAAAGGAATTAGGAAATTAAGAAAGTTATCGTTTAAATTAAGTTTATACTTTCGTATGTAAGCTGGCATCTTTTTTTATGTATAGGGCGTGGCATATTCAAGGATAAGGTCGTCTAGTTTCACTATTATACCAATTTCAGTCGAGGAGTTTGAACCACAATACGCATCCTTGACATCCTTTCTCATCGTTATGCATCAGCTCCACCCCTTGCAAGGTTGTTTATTTGCTTCCAAGTAATTAAAATCTTAGAAGACAATACTATAATAGGGTTTAAACGTAAAAAATTCCATCTAATTAGGAAGTGTAAAATCATTTTTGACATTTCAATGAGGACAATAGAGATCTTTAACTTTTACAATAACCTCATCGAAGCTGTTTTTGATTAATCTCATTGTCATTTTTTAGTCATTGAGTATGACTAAATTCGTACTTCTCTGATATTTTCTTATTGAAAAGTACTTTAGTAACATAAATTTTAACTTATGAATTTTTCGAAGCCTGATATATAAAGTCTAGATAAGTAAAATATTATGAAATTTCATGTTTGTACTGTAATATTCGATAATACGCCGATACCATAGTGTACAAGGTGAACTACTGTAGCAAGCAGTAGATGCCATTTAATAATATAACTTATTACATGTTATGATTTGATAATTAATAATTTAAGCCAAAAGTTATATTTTAAAATATAAAAATAAGAGTTTAAAATGCGTATTTATCTATAAGCTAAAGGAATAAATTTAAACTTCGTCTCATCGCTGAAGTAAAATTCGATTCAAAATGGCGGATTTTTTGAAAATTCTGTACTTCTGTTAATTTAAAATTGAGACATCTACCAGTAAATATATTATTTTAATATAATAATTTTATGGTATTATCACAATATAAATGCTAATCATGTACTTTACCGTTATTTAATCGTTGACCTAGTAATATTCGTGTAATACCGGTATTGCACGAAAGGTCGTATAGGCAAGGCAAGCCGGGTAATCATCATATTCTTATATAATTAAGGCAGACAGTTTTTATGAAAAAATTATTTATTTACGAAGACATTTCTACAGCCATTTAGTAAACGTAATGATAACCCAGGGGTGCAAAAGGCAAGTAAGCGTGCACAGCGGGTACAACAGCTGGTATGATCTTGTTTACGCTAACGGATGCGGGGTCTTTGCTAGAATCAACACCTGGTTCGTTAGTCTGGATATCAGCACGGAAACCTGCAGCATCAGCAACGTAGTTTACAACACGGTGTCTACCATCAGCAACGGAAAGACCATAGGCTCCAACTTTGTTTCCGGCAAGATCACCGCTTTCGCGACGGAATGTTGCTCCAGTTCCGTGCCCTTCGTTGTAACCAAAATGATAGTTGCCCAAAACCTATACGAGAAAATATATTTTATAAACCCTTCATAAGATCATTGAAGTTTTAAAGTACAGTAATTCTTTACATACGTCTTGGGTGCGGACTTGGGAGCTTACACCAGTACCAAGGTGGTGCAGAATTGGTACAGCTTGAGCTGCGGCGAGTACGGCGCACAAGATAAGCAACTGTAAACCCAAATTGTAAAAAATTAAGCTGGGAATTTTAAATTTAATTAAGAATTTCTGTAACAAGTATACGTACCTTCATGTTGGAAATCGAAGTAGAATCGATCTAGGAAGAGTCGCTCTAAGAACACACCTTTTATAGCTCCAAATTTTTTTTTTTTTTCTGTAAAGTAATTTAAATATTTTCAGGTGTCATCTGATGACGCAAAAGATGAGTACGACCATGACCTAGATCGTCAGTGAAAAATTGTAAATACATGTTTTATTAATTATATAAGATTGAGCAATATTCAAGTATTTAAATTTATTAATCAGTGATTAAATTACAAAAGTTATAAATTCTATTTAATTAAAATTAAATAAACTTAAAGCAATTCATTACGTACATTTTCTTCTAAAATAACTGTAAAAATTTACGTTGATTACGTAAAATTTACGTATATTCCATAACATTATATGATGTCATATTTACACAGAATTCAAGTCAGTTACACTGATAAACTTCCTTGAAGATGTCATTGATGATATAGCCTTGAACGTCTCGAGATCATCAGCATTCTTACTGGATCATCATTGCGCATGTTTGTAGATTAAAGAAGAGGTATATAAACGAGCGTAATTGGCGACGTCAGACAGATACTTTCTGGATACTTAGAAACACGTGCATTGTATTGTTGTGGATACTTAAAGGATGGATTAAGCGCACGTTCATGAAGAAGATAAATACATTCTGTAACAAATTTTGTAATTATATTTAAATCATTCAAAAGCATAAAATGTAGATGCAGCATTATAATAAAATATCCTGAACGTCTCGATTTACTAGTGTCAGGGCTCACCAGTGACCAAGCGGTTCCATTTCCTGAACACTGGGAATTCGGTCGTGGGTTCGGGCCTCACCAGGACGGGCTGGCCACGTGGAGTTTTCCGAGTTTTCTCCATATCTATAACTCCTGAATAGGGGCAGTTATCCTTAAAAAGACCTCCCGAAAGGCATTTCCCTAGGCAGATCGCCCAAGTGTTGCGTTGCCCAAACTGGTATCAGAAATTTTTTTATTTATACACCCAAAAAACAGTTATAATTCGCTTCAAATACGTTTAAAAGAGGAATTTATCAAAGAAAATTTTTTATAATATAATTACATTCTTGAACATTTTAAGTTTTAACGTTATTATTAGCATTTTGTAAATTTGTATACATCGTGTCCGTTAAGTATGAAAGTAATAGAAAAGAAAATAAATGTAAGTAAAGTTAATATAATGGCATATAAACTTTTGATTGAAATTAACTTTAACACTTGGCCGTCTTAGAAAGTATTAAATGCAAAATGAGGACGTCCTTGAGAACGTAGCATCAAGGTAATTTAAAAAACGTAATTTAATAACGGTTTGTAAAATGTTGTTAAAAATAAACGTGAACATTTTTACTTATTATTTGAATAAGATTAAATCTTTGGCAATATATTTACTTATTTTTCCTGCTTTTATGTTCTTTATTGATTCATACGAAATTATAATACTACAAACTCGGTTACAGGGATCCTGGTCACAGATGGGCCTCTAAATAAAGGGGGCCTTATCCTTGAACATGCCTTGGAGCCTCTGAATGGGCCTTTTATATAAATAAATAAATAAACTATACGAATGTCATATAAGTTAAAATTTCTCATGATAAGTTATTTTTATTCATACATTTTTATGGTTTACGAAGAGGAAATCTTAGAAGTAAAGCCTGGGGAGCATCTCATTTTCAGGGTTTTCATTAAAGGTTATTAGATTTATAATATAAAACTGTAAATCTTCAAATAAATCTTTAAATAAAAATTTACTAAAAATTCCGTTGCAAAGACAGAGAAATAAGAATTTTTATGATACATTTTTATCACCAGTCGAACGTTTTATGTGAATTTATTTTAATAAATTTAACTTGAGTATTAATAATTAAATGTGAGTAAATTTAATGATTAAAAATGCAAAAAAGTAAATTTTAATTTATTTTTTAAAATTGTAATTATTAATTTAAGAAATTTACATTCTTTTTTAGTTGGGAACTTCATAAAAGCTTTTAATATTTTACTAAAATCTTTTTATTACGTTATTTCGTTTTAATTTCTAAATGCTATTGATTGATGATTTAAAAACTGGATTAAATTTGACAAATTATATAGAAAAGCAATTAAAATTCTATTGTTTACACAATAAAATTCACAAAATCTCTATTTTAATACATTTATTTATATTCTATTTTTTATAGAAAAACATTTTTTATTGATGTATAGAGGAGGAGTTTCTACCTAATCGCTAGCAACCCCTGAGGATTCAGTCGATTTATCTGAATAATACATAAATTAATCTGGGGATGGGAAACAAATTTATTATTTTATTTATTTATTTCATCATATTTTTAATTCATTTTAATTATATATCAGAATAGAAAAGAATGTGCGAATTAAATATAATTTTGGAAAAGGTTCGACAAGCAAAAAAGATGGGAAGCCCTGGAATAAGCCTACACCAACACTACTAATATACAGTATACAGTAAACTCCGCTTTAAAATTGTTTGTATAAAATTCTATATTTTTATGGTCATTTACATATATTTTAAGCTTCAAACTTTTATTTTTAAGAATGTAATCTCAATTTATGATTTACTCTTCTCACATCTTTCTCATTCCCTCACTTTCTGATTTTTTAAAGCCTAGGCTCTATATCTTAATAATAATAATAATAATAATAATTAGAAGTTTGGTTATTTTAGCTTATCGTTGCTATTTTTTATCACAAAATTTGTCAAAGAGATAAAATCAGGTGTAGAGTGAGGTGTCCAGGTTTCATA